GGGGCGCATGTATCGATATGTCCATATTGAAGGGCAGTGGTAAATGCTTTGCAAACAGAGTTCCTCAGATTCTATAAAGTCATGAACCTGTGTGAAGCTGATTTGGTCTATCCAGGTAAATTCTGACTGGCAGCGGCTCGCCCGGGTTCCAGGTGGAAATTTTTCACATCACCTACTGCTTGGTCCTTTTAACTGGAGATACCAGGGATTGAACCTGGGTCCTTCTGCAATGCCAAGCAGATGCTCTACTGGGTCAATCCCTTGTCCTGTCTGAGGCCCTGGAGAGGCATTGCAGTCAGTAAAGAAAATTTTGGAATGGATGCTATGTTTGTAAGCCCACCATTAAGCACTTCTTTAAGGAGAAGGCTGTGGTGCGGCGGCAGAGCACTGCTGTCTAAAGAGAAAGTGTCAGGTTTGATCCTGAGCATTTTGCGTTAAAAGAGACACCAGGTGTTGGGAAAGATTTTTCTGTGCCGGAAAGCTGCTGCCAGAGAGGAGAGAGAGTTCTGATCTAGGCGGGTCAATGGCCTGGCTAAGTACAAAGCAGCTTCATATTTTCCTTTCCAGGGTTTTTTTCTTTTTTGGAAAAAGGGGCCGGAACTCTCAAGAGGGACGTGAAGTTTTCAATCTGTATACTGAAAACTCATGACCTTTTAAACTTTTAAAAAAGAATTTTGTCGAAGAGAACATAAGAACATAAGAGATGCCAATGTTGGAGGATCAGGCCAAAGGCCCATCCAGTCCAACACTCTGTGTCACACAGTGGCCAGAAATACCAGTGCCATCAGGAGGTCCACCAGTGGGACCAGGACATTAGAAGCCCTCCCACTGTTGACCCCCCCCAGCACCAAGAAGACAGAGCATCACTTGCCCCAGAGCCCCTAGCTATACCTTGTGGCTAATAGCCACTCATGGACCTCTGCTCCATATGCTTATCTAATTCCCTTTTGAAGCCGTCCATGCTTGTAGCCGCCACCACTTCCTGTGGCAGTGAATTCCATGTGTTTATCACTCTTTGGGTGAAGAAGTCCTTCCTTTTATCCGTTCTAACCCGACCACTCAGCAATTTCATGGAGTGCCCACAAGTTCTTGTATTGTGAGAAAGGGAGAAAAGCACCTCTTTCTCTACCTGCTCTTTCCCATGCATAATCTTATAAACCTCAATCATGTCACCCCTCAGTCGTCGTTTCTCCAAGCTAAAGAGCCCTAAGCGCCTTAACCTTTCCTCATAGGGAAAGTGTTCCAACCCTTTTATCATTCGAGTTGCCCTTTTCTGCAAGAGGTTCTGGAACTTCGTGTTCCCCCAGAAAAAAAGCCCTGTTTCCGTAACTGAGCATAGGAAGGAAAGCTTTTCCAGACACAGTTAGAAAACCTTTCCCTGCAAAACTGAATTATTCAAGGGGGCTTTTCTATGCAGACAATAGGGCAGCATTGTTCAAAATGATTCACAAAAGTTACTTGGATACATTATTAGGGACTGTCGTCTCTACTACTGTGTATAGTTTGCTGCTAAATTGGACCCTACTGTGTAACTTTGAGTCATTTAATGCGTCATATTAACAATTTGCTTTGCTTCAGTTCTGTTTTTTTAAATCTCTGGCTGGTTCTACAATCCCAAATCCTATTTCACTGTTTATTGGCGTCCCATCTTGTCGACTGTATCGACTCCTCTGTGTAATCCGCTTTGAGTCCCAGCGAGAAGGGTGGACCATACATAATGCAAATAAATACATAAATTCTTTTTGCAAAAACAATGACATTAAGTGCCCAGGAAGCCAATTAGAAAGAAAAACTGGTGACAACCTTCTTCGCTAGATCATTTACAACTGCAGTCCTAAAAACATGCCTGGAGGTCTTCTTGAAATCTAAGTAAACACAGTTAAGTGCCAGGTGTATATTTTGCTCACAGAAGGTTCCAGGTTCAGCCCTAGGCATTTCTAGCTGGAAAAAAAAAAGATCTCAGGTTCCAGGAAGGATCCCACTCGACCAGAGTCAGAGCAAATTGTTTGGATCTGGGTAGGCCATTGATTTGACTCAGCATGTGGCAACTTCCTGTGCTCTTCATCTGTTATGAGGGAATAATTGTACCCTGTTTCACAACGAAAGATGACAAAACAAGCCGTGTCAAGTTCATAATCCCTTCTTGTTGTTTTTAATGCCACACATCATGTAATAATGGAATGACTGTGCCTCTTAGCTGAACAGAGCAGTTAATAAAACAGCCATGATATGGATTGATTTCTGCTCCCATAACGCTAAGAATCTAGTCCCAAGCAGTGTTCCCTCTAAGCTGAGTTAGTATGAGCTAGCTCACAGTTTTTTAGCCTCCAGTTCACACCTTTTTGTCTACGCTCAGGAAGGATGCCTCCAGAGTCCAGAGCAAACTCATTGATGCAGTAGCCAAATCGCTTGCTCACAACTTTAGTGCCAGTAGCTCACAAAGTAGAATTTTTGCTCGCAGGACTCCACAGCTTAGAGGGAGCATTGGTCCCAAGATAGTTTTCTTCAGCTTGATTTCAAAACTACACACTTGGATACAGTTACACCACTTGCTTTGAATTTTTAACACAAGTGGGCTGTGGTTAAAGCACTAGGCTAGGATCTGGAAGCCACAGGTTCAAATCCCCACTCTACCACAGAAGTAGGTATTAAGTCATGAGCTTAACAAGAGTCAGAGAGTGATTTCAGCAAGAATGCGACTTTTATTCTTCTGCTTCAATACTTCTCCAACACGGTACAACATCAGTCAGCTAGAACAGCTTTAATATTGCAGCTGCTCTGTATTTAAACATTCCTGGCTAATATAGCCACGCCTACTGTACAATTACCAACCTATCAGGTTGAACAGATAACGACCAATCACAAGCGCTCCCGCTCTGTGAAGTGATTGGATGACACATACTGGGCTAGTGCTCCTATTGGTTACATTAGGATCCTAGCCCAGGCCGAAGCTTTACATTGCACTTCAATGAGATGTTTCACATACACCAAGTTCCATACAGTTCATGCATTCAAGTCCATCTGAATACATAACAGTAGGGATGCCAGCTTCCAGGTGGGACCTGGGGATCCCCTGGAATGGCAGCTCATCTCTGGACTACAGAGATCAGTTCCCCTGGAGGGGTGAATACTTTGGAGGGTGGATTCTATGGCATTGTACCCTACTGAAGTCCCTATCCTTTCAAGGCTCCATCCCCAAATCTCCAGGAATTTCCCAACTTGGATCTGGCAACCCTACCCCCCCATCCCCTGCCAGCGGCCAGGGGGGAACTGGCAACCCCAACTCCTTGGGTAACGTTGGCCAAACACTCTCTCAGCATAACCTCCCTCATGGGATTGTTGTTGTGAAGATAAAATGGAGGCAGGGAAACCAATGTTGTAAGCCCCTCTGGGTCCCCATTGGGGGAAAAGCGGTGGACAAATATCTGAATAAATACAATTTTACAATTGCATAAAGAATAAGGCATCAGAATCAGTGAATGATTAAAATTAGCTCTGCTACTACTACTACTACTACTACTACTACTGGAAGGCCAGATACTGAAGCTGAACTTCAAATACTTTGGCCACCCAATGAGAAGGGAGCACTCGCTGGAGAAGACCCTGATGCTGGGAAAGATTGAAGGTCAAATAAGAAGGGGACGGCAAAGGATGAGATGGTTAGACAGTGTTATCGAGGCAACAGACATGAAATTAAGCAAACTCCGGAGCACGACGGAAGACAGGAGGGCCTGGCGTGATGTGGTCCATGGGGTTGCGAAGAATCGGACTTGACTGTGCGACTGAACAACAACAACAACAACAACTACTGCAGCTAATAATCCCAGTAGTCAGTTTTGATCCCACAGGGGCTTGGGAGTGGCATACATGCTCATCTCCTCTGTTCACAGCAACCCTGTAAAGTAGATTACCTCAAGGTGGGACGTGGGGATCCCCTAGACTTACAGGTCATCTCCAGACTACGGAAACCAGTTCCCCTGGAGAAAATGCCTGCTTTGGAGGGTGGACTCTCTGTGGCACTGTGCCCCACTCAGGTCCCTGTCCTCCCCAGGCTCCACCCCCAAATCTCCAGGCGTTTCCCAACCTGGATCTGGCAACCCTGCCCTCCCCCATCTCCCACTGGTGGCCAGGGGGGGAACCTGGCAACCCTAATTACTGAGCCCCTAGCCAATGAGGTCAGCTAAATGGCACACTGAGGCTGCTAATCGCACCTTCACCATCATGGAATGTTTTCATGCTATCACATTCATTCATTGGGGTTGCCAGGTCCCCCCTGGCCACCAGCAAGGGATGGAGGGGTAGGGTTCCGACGTCCAGGTTGGAAACTCCTGGGGCTTTGGGGAGGGCAGGGACCTCAGTGGGGGACAATGCCCTCCAGTGCGATCCATTTTCTCCAGGGGAACTGATCTTTGTGGTCTGGAGCAATGTTCCCTCTAAGCTGTGGAGTCTCATGAGCAAGAATTCTACTTTGTGAGCTACTGGCATTAAAGTTGTGAGCAAGAGATTTGGCTCCTGCGTAAATTAGTTTGCTCTGGAGCCCTCCTTCCTGAGCCAAGACAAAAATGTGTGAGCCGGAGGCTAAAAAACTATAAGCTAGCTCACACTAACTCAGCTTAGAGGGAACACTGGTCTGGAGATGAGCTGTAAATCAGGGGGATCCCCCAGGCAGTGTTCCCTCTAAGCTGAGTTAGGGTGAGCTATCTCACAGTTTTTTAGCCTCCAGCTCACAGATTAATGCCAGTAGCTCACAAGGCAGAATTTCTGCTCACAAGGCTCCACATTTTAGAGGGAGCATTGCCTCCAGGTCCCACCTGGAGGCTGGCATCCCTATATGTAGGTCTGAGGTTGGCACCAGGCCCCCATCTCCATGGAAACGAGACACCCAGGGATCACAGCGCCTCCACCGCCCCTCGCTTCCGCGTCCCCCTCCCCTCTCCCGCGCTGCGATTGGCCGGCGCGGAGGGTGGAGGCGGGGCCGGAAGTGGGAGCCAGGGGTTGCCATGGGGGCGGCGGCGGCGGCGGCAGCTGCTGCGGTCGGGGGTCGATGCCGGTGTTGCGGGAGGGAGCGGTGCCAGGCGGACCCGTGCGGGGTCCTGTGCCTCCTGCTCACCTACCTCAGCGTGGGCTACGCCGACTACGTCGTCCTGGAGCACGTCCTGCTGCAGCCGGGTTTCCGGGCTAGGTAGGGCGCTTTGCACACCCTCAGGAGCGCGGCGGCCTGGGAGGGGACGGAAGCGGGAGGCACTCTGCACGTGAGCAGGGGCACTTTGTCTTTAGGCCCGTTTTTGGTTGTTTTTCTTTTAAGGCATTTTTTTGGTATTGTTTTTGCCCTTGGGGGAAAAGGCATCTGCCCTACTTAAGCTCTTGGGCCCTTTTGGGGGAGGATTTCTTTAGCGTTGCAGCGGGTGAAAAAATTCCACCATGTGTTCAGGGTTACTTAGCTCCTAGATCCTGTATATTTTTAAAAGGCTGTCTTGCATATGTCGTCTTTAGGCCTTTTCCTTGAATGCTGATTTGTTTGTCCTGTGCTTCTCTCCCCCCCCCCCCCCCCCCGGGCTAGGGACCCTAAGCTGCTTACAGTATCTTACATATTATTGCAGCGACAACCCTGTGAGGTGGGATAGTTTGAGGGAGGGTGACTGGGCCAAGGTCACCCAGCAAACCTCTGTGACAGAGTAGGGATTCGAACCTGGGTCTCCCAGATTTATTTTATTTACGTCATTGATGGCCCACATTTCGTGCTAATGACACTCCAGCCAGTGCACCATGCTGGTTATTTTATGCTTAGAGGGAGGAAAGCATTGGTTTGGTGGTTTGGTATTGTGGTGAAGAGCGCGGATGCTAATCTGGGAGAACCGGGTTTGAGTCCCCACTCCCCCACATGCAGCGGCTGGTGTGACCTTGGGTCAGTCACAAGTTCTCTTGGAGCTGTTCTCTCAGGAGCAGTCCTCGAAAGAGCTCTCTCAGCCCCACCTACCTCACAGGGTGTCTGTTGTGGGGAGGGGAAGGGAAAAGAGTTTGTAAGCTGCTCTGAGACTCCAAGTGAAGGGGCGGGGGAGAAATCCAATCTCTTCTTCTTCTTCCTCCCCCTTTTCCTCTTCCTCTTCATCAGAGGTGTTGCGACTTGTTGGTGGAAAGTGCCATGAAGTTGCGGCTTGAGTCATGGCAACCAAATAAGGATTTCAAGGAAAGAGACACATAGAGGTAGTTTACCATTCCCTTCCTCTGCATAGCGACCCTGGACTTCCTTGGTGGTCTCCCATCCAAATACCAACCAGGGCCAACCCTGCGTAGCTTCCAAGATCTGACAAGATTGGGCTAGCCTGGCCCGTCCAGGTCAGGGCAGGATAACTTTAGGGACTTTGTTTTGTAAAGGAAGAGTCTTTCCTCCTCAGAAGAGGTAAAAGACCCTGGCAGATGTTCAGTGTCACTTTTACTGTAGATCTATTTTTAGGGACTCATTCTTTCCCCTTTGAAAAGAACTCTTTGTACGCACAAGGGCACTGGCACCCTCAGGCCCTTGGAGAGATGCAAGTGACTTCTCACACGTATATGGACACTTTGCCCTTTCTTTTCAAAAGTACAAAGCGCTGTTATGCATCATTTTATCTTAAGCCCTTCCTTGAACGATTTGTCTGGGTGGGAGAAGAACTCTGCACAAGCTCAGGAGCCTGTTGTCGTTAGTTTCAGGAAAAAGGATCTGATTGAAGGGGGTGGTGGTGATGATGGAACGGAATGGAACTCTGCACGTTCTCACAGGTACTCCACGTTAGGTGACCAAGTGTCCTATCCAAAAGGGGGCAGTGCTAATATCACAAGTGGAAGGAGAGTTTAGGGTAGAGCTACAGTGTTTAAGGTGTGTATGTGGATGGGGCGATTTAATTAGCTGCATGCTAAGATCTGGAGAACTCTGTTGCCAATACCACGTGACAACTGGGACTTGTGGTTTTTGCTTTTCAGACAGCATCTCCCCACACACCAACCCCAGGCCATTATTTTTTTAAAGACAGATATTTTCAGAGAAGCTTGTTCAGCACAGTTTTTGAAACACAACTCCCCATCGGGTGCTGCCAACCCATTGGGTGCCCCTGAAGTAGCTTCTTGGATCCTGGCCATAAAAATTTATATCCTCCCTTTTCTTCCAGGAAGAAACCCAACTCTGGCTGCATTAGTAAGCTGATCCCTGCTCGGCTTTCAGAATATGCTATTTGCAACCTGATCATAGAAGTTTTGGCGATCATAACAATGATGAAGCAGGGATAGAAAGAACTCTCGGATTTCATGGCGTTGGCCTCCTGGGGAAATATTGTGGGGGAGGAAAGAAAGCTGGCAAGCCGCCGCTGATCTTGTTGCTTCCTTTTCTGTCGCAGCCTTTGGTGTCCGTTCCACGCCGTGGCGTTCAACTTCATTGTTGTCATGCTGCTTGCCAGTCACACGCGGGCTGTCTTTGCAGACCCAGGTAAGAACCTTATCTTTTGTCCTTGGAACTGGAAGGCCCCCAGGGCCCTGTCTGTATTGTCCCTGGATCACACCAAAAAAACACAAATGTGGTTCCTCTCAAATGTATACGCACTTATCCTATAGAACTCCTTGCCACAAGAGGAGGAGGAGATTGGATCTATACCCCGCCCTTCACTCAGAGTCTCAGAGCGGCTTACAATCTCCTTTCCCTTCCCTTCCCCACAACAGACACCCTGTGAGGTAGGTGGGGCTGAGAGAGCTCTTTTGAGAACTGCCCTTTCAAGGACAGCTCTTGTCAGAACTGTGGCTTGCCCAACGTCACCCAGCAGCTTCAAGTGGAGGAGTGGGAAATCAAACCTGGTTCTCCCAGATTAGAGTCCGTGCTCCTAACCACTACACCAAACTGGCTGTCATTGGAGGCTGTTAGCTTATGTAGGCATGTCCAGAGGCTGGGACGAGCCAGTCCTCTGGCTTGCATGCCACTGCCACTCACCTGGGCTTTGGGGTTGTGGGCCATGGCTCGCGCCAGCCTGGAAAACATGGGAGCAGCCCTGAGTGCTAGAAGTGTCCGAGGTAAAATCGGGGAGTTGGAGTGCTTGGTGTCGGAGGGAAAAATAGACATTGTGGGTATTTCTGAAACTTGGTGGGATGAGGAAAATCAGTGGGACACAGTGATTCCCGGTTATATATTATATCGGAAGGATAGGGGGGGAAGGGTTGGAGGTGGGGTAGCTCTGTATGTCAGAGAGGGTATAAAGTCTAGAAAGATTGAGAGGCTAAGTGAATTGGATTCGCTTCTGGAAGTTCTATGGGTTGAAATAGGGGGGCCAAAAGGAAACTTAACACTGGGAGTTTGTTATCGCCCACCAGATCAAAAGATAGAGGAGGATTATAAAATGATGAATGCCTTAAAGATAGCAACTAGACAAAAACACTGTGTAATAATAGGTGATTTTAACTACCCACACATTGATTGGGTCAATATGTGTTCTAGCCGGGAAAAAGAGATTGAGTTTCTAGACACTCTAAATGACTGTGCTATGGAGCAGATGGTCACGGAACCTACCAGGGGAGAGGCGATCCTTGATTTGGTCCTAAGTAACACTCAAGACCTGGTGAGAGATGTAAAAGTGATTGCACCACTTGGAAACAGTGATCATAATGTTGTTGAGTTCATCATTCGTACAAATAGAGAATTGGCCAAAAAGACTCACACAACCATTTTTAACTTTAAAAGGGGTAATTTCTCTGATATGAGGGGACACGTGGGGAGGAAACTGAAAGGAAAAGTAGAAAGGGTCAAAACAATTGGGGAAGCTTGGGATCTATTTAAAACTACGATCCTAGAAGCTCAAAAAATATATATTCCGCAGGTTAGGAAAGGCACAAACAGGTATAGGAAAAAGCCTGCATGGTTAACAAACAGAGTAATGGAGGCTGTAAAAAGTAAAAAGAATTCCTTTAAGCAGTGGAAAGCTAGTCACAGTGAGGCTGATAAAACGGAACACAGGCTATGGCAAATAAAATGCAAGTCTGAGGTCAGGCAGGCAAAAAGGGAATATGAGGAGCATATAGCAAAAAACGTAAAAACCAACAATAAAACTTTCTTCAAATACATTAGAAACAGGAAACCAGCCAGGGAGGCAGTGGGGCCCTTGGACGACCAAGGGGTAAAAGGAGTATTGAAGGATGATAGGGAAATGGCTGAGAAGCTAAATGCATTTTTTGCCTCCGTCTTCACTGTGGAAGATGAGAAGTGCTTGCCCACTCCAGAACCACTGATTTCAGGAGGGGTGTTGGAAGACCTGAGTCAGATTGAGGTGATGAGAGAGGAGGTCCTAAAACTGATAGACAACTTAAAAACTGAAAAATCACCAGGCCCAGATGGCATACATCCGAGAGTTCTGAAAGAACTCAAATGTGAACTTGTAGATCTCCTGACAAAGATATGTAATCTTTCCTTAAAATCTGCCTCCATTCCTGAGGATTGGAAGGTAGCTAATGTCACTCCCATCTTTAAAAAGGGTTCCAGAGGAGATCCGGGAAATTACAGGCCAGTCAGTCTGACGTCGATACCGGGTAAATTGGTGGAAACCATTATTAAGGAAAGAATTAGTAGGCACATAGATGAACAAAACCTATTGAGGCAGACTCAGCACGGTTTCTGTAAGGGAAGATCTTGTCTCACTAACCTGTTAGTGTTCTTTGAGGGGGTGAACAAACATGTGGACAAGGGGGATCCAATAGATATTATTTACCTTGACTTCCAGAAAGCTTTTGATAAAGTTCCTCATCAAAGGCTCCTAAGTAAGCTCAAAAATCATGGGATAGAAGGACAAGTCCTTTTATGGATCAAAAACTGGCTAGTTCATAGAAAACAGAGAGTGAGTGTAGGTGGGCAATTTTCTCAGTGGAGGGTGGTAAGCAGTGGGGTACCGCAGGGATCAGTACTTGGTCCACTGCTTTTTAACTTGTTCATTAATGATTTGGAGATGGGAGTAAGCAGTGAAGTGGCTAAATTTGCGGATGATACAAAGTTGTTCAGGGTGGTGAAAACCAGTGAGGATTGTGAGGCACTCCAAGGGGATCTGTCAAGGATGGGCGAGTGGGCGTCAACATGGCAAATGGGGTTCAATGTGGCCAAGTGCAAGGTGATGCACATTGGAGCCAAAAATCCTAAATATAAATACACATTGATGGGGTCTGAACTGGCAGAGACTGAGCAAGAGAGAGATCTTGGAGTTGTAGTGGATAACTCACTGAAAATGTCGAGACAGTGTGTGACTGCAATAAAGAAGGCCAATGCTATGCTGGGGATTATTAGGAAGGGTATTGAAAACAGATCAGCCAATATAATAATGCCCCTATATAAATCAATGGTGAGACCTCATTTGGAATACTGTGTGCAGTTCTGGGCACCACACCTTAAAAAGGATATTATAGCTTTGGAAAAAGTGCAGAAAAGGGCAACTCGAATGATAAAAGGGTTGGAACACTTTCCCTATGAGGAAAGGTTAAAGCGCTTAGGGCTCTTTAGCTTGGAGAAAAGACGACTGAGGGGTGACATGATCGAGGTTTATAAGATTATGCATGGGAAAGAGCAGGTAAAGAAAGAGGTACTTTTCTCCCTTTCTCACAATACAAGAACTCGTGGGCACTCCATGAAACTGGAGAGCGGTCGGGTTAGAACGGATAAAAGGAAGTACTTCTTCACCCAAAGAGTGATTAACACATGGAATTCACTGCCACAGGAAGTGGTGGGTGCTACAAGCATGGACGGCTTCAAAAGGGAATTAGATAAGCATATGGAGCAGAGGTCCATCAGTGGCTATTAGCCACAAGGTATAGATAGGGGCTCTGGGGCAAGTGATGCTCTGTCTTCTTGGTGCTTGGGGGGGGGGTCAACAGTGGGAGGGCTTCTAATGTCCTGGCCCCACTGCTGGACCTCCTGATGGCACTGGTATTTCTGGCCACTGTGTGACACAGAGTGTTGGACTGGATGGGCCTTTGGCCTGATCCAACATTGGCGTCTCTTATGTTCTTATGAGTGGGCCTGCATTGACAGCAGTGGTGCTGAGGCCCCAACTGACACGTCACTCTGGCTAGGTGCCCTGCCCTCCCTTTCGCTGTACTTGAAGGAAAATGCAAGAATATTCCTTTCATAGATAGGCTTTGTACCTGCCCATCAAGGGAGGCTGAGACTACAGAGCCCATGTTTTTTTGTGTGCCCGTATTATAAGGTGGCACGTAATAAGATCATCCCTCTGTTGATAGAAAAAATTCCGGGCTTTCTGAAAAAGCTAGACTTGAGTTTCTTCTATCTGATAGAAGTCCCGAGATCACCTATCAAGTAGCCAGTTTCTGTATGGCGATACTCAGGTTATGGAAATTTTATGGTAGTTAGGTAGTTACGGTAGTGAGACATTAGATTAGATTTTAATCTGCTTTTCATGTTTTATTGGTGTATTTAAAAATTTTGGACTGTTGTAAAGGTGTACTGGGGCTGCGGTGGCTCAGTGGTTAAGACGCTGAGCTGCAGACCGGAAGGTCAGTAGCTCGGCAGTTCGAGACCCGAGTGCCGCATGACGGAGTGAGCTCCCGTCTCTGGCCCCGGCTCCTGTCAACCTAGCAGTTCAAAAGCAAGAACTTGCAAGTAGATAAATGGGTACCGCTTCGGTGGGAAGGTAACAGCACCTCGTGCGCCTCGATGCCTAATCATGCCGACCACATGACCACGGAGAAGTCTTCAGACAGTGCTGGCTCTTTGGCTTGGAAACGGAGATGAGGACCGCCCCCTAGAGCTGGATTTGACTGGCTTTCGAGCAAGGGAAACCTTTACTTTTACGTAAAGGTAAAGGTTCCCTTGCTCGAAAGCCAGTCGAATCCGACTCTAGGGTTGCGGTGCTCATCTCCGTTTCAAAGCTGAAGAGCCAGCGCTGTCCGAAGACATTTCCGTGGTCATGTGGCCGGCATGTCTAAACACCAAGGTGCACGGAATGCTGTTCCTTTCCCACCGAAGTGGTACCTGTTTATCTACTTGCAATTTCTTGCTTTCGAACTGCTAGGTCGGCAGGAGCTGGAACTAGAGATGGGAGCTCACTCCGTCATGCGGCACACTCGGGTCTCGAACTGCTGAACTACCGACCTTCTACAGCCTATAGTTCAGCGTCTTCACCACTTGAGCCACCGCAGCTCCTTGTACCTTTACGTAAAGGTGTACTTTTTTTTTTTTAAATGACTGGTCTAAGGACCGTGACACTGAACTGAACTGAATTGGCACGGCCATTTGCAGCGAGCAACGGGCTGACGTGGCCACGCCCCCGCAGCAGAGTGGAGGGCTGGGGAGGCCTGATAGGGAAGGGGCAGCCTGGAACCTCCAGGGGATCCTGCCAAGTCTCACCACCAAGAGCAGGCATTGGGGGGGGGGGGTAGTCTGGCAAGGTCAGGAAATGAGTGGTTGGAGTCAGGCAAGCGAAGCCTGAGATAGTTAGGCCTCAC